TCAGCAATTCGCATCGCCAACAAAAACGGCTTCGCAAACAGGACGAAACACATCGCCCTGCGCTATTTCTTCGTGAAGGACGAGATAGAAAAAGGGAAACTCGATCTGTCATACTGTCCAACATCCGAGATGGCAGCCGATTACTTGACCAAGAAACTCGGCAAGCAGAAGTTCGAATACTGCATGATGCTGACTGGACAAGGCCACGTCACCAGCAGTAACACTCCAGAAGCGAAGGGGAGTGTTGGAAACAATAAGTCCTAAGTGCGCTTCTGTCGTATCAAAATCCAAGGTACCAAGCGAAGCAGTCCCAATCGAAGCATCGAGTCAACCTCGGAGGTTAGGGTAACCGCCTGGAGGTTACGAGAAAGTCAAAGGTCGCTGACCTTTGACTCGACAATTACAGCGCGACAGTTAAGGACACACAACTGACTCGTTACAGAGCAGTTGCCCGAGTCGCGCTATATCGAACCGCAACAGCAATACAGTTATCTATCTATTCCCTGTACTCTTATATAAATCCTTGTATTTGCTTGTTTAATTCAATCAACTTTGCTCTCACACACCAGTGCAAGGTCGGTTCAAATTCTTCACTAAACGCTTCCGCTATTACAACTACTTCACCTAGAGTTATCCCTTGCAAAGATCCTAAGGGGCTATCTCAGCCCAACAAAGGCTAGCCTGTTTATAAGAGACACCCGTATAATAGACAACCCCTGTCTACTATTCAACACTGTCTTATATCCGGGCGATGACGGTAAGCGCGTGCCTTCATTGTATTGTCAGTTCATTGAGTCACATCTTCGTTATTCGTTATTCCGCACACTCTCTTTTACAACTCATAATAACCAGACACGATTCAAATTGGGGGAGGTAACATATTTTAAAAAAACTTATAAGATGTCCAATATAACTGGTTTTTGCATAGATTGGAAACTGTTGGAGGTTTCCCGGCGAGAATACATTTTTTTTACTGGCAATTGCTGAAAGCACATATGTGATCACTTTAGGATAAAATTATTTCCCATCTTATTGCATTGGTGAATGTCTAAATAGTTTCATTTCCGTATGGTGGATCTGATATGAATTACAGAGTATCCAGTAGATGTGACCTGAAAGCTAGGATGACATGATTGTATCGAGTTCTCTTCTGTGTTTTCCGCAGTGTCATTTTGCTGGTGGCGCGGTGTTGGGGGTCTATCTTTCTAGGAGACGCTTCAGTGCTAGTCTAGCTTATCCAGAACGAGGTTAGGCGAGAGTTACTATTTTCAACTTTCTGTTCGTTATTCCTCGACTTCGATCATGAAATGCAACGCCTGTTGGGCCGATATTGAAGGGCAAGCTATAGCGACGCATTGCGGACATGTCTTCTGTGAGATTAATTATATATTTTCTCCTCAATTTCTTCCTACAGCACAGGTGATTGACCTTTTTTACGGCAATTACCTGTCAGGCCTGGACGATGCAAAAAAAATCATATCAACGGACTCAACATGCCCGAGATGCGAGAAAATACTGTCGAAAGGGTCAGGCAATGCTATTCTGTCATGTTGTTAAGAGTGCGATGAACCGAAATAACCTCTTTTCTAATAAACCAGGAACATGAAGGCTATTACGACAAGCATTGACGACACTACCGCTACCGTAAACCTCTCGTCATTTCTTTGCTCAGCAGTAACCTTGTTTATGAATCTGAATGTCCGGCTATGTGTCTGCAGATGTTGCTCTCAGGGCTCCCTCCAGGGTCAAGTATGTCTCTCTGGCCAAAATTCTTCTAGTAAACGTCCACTTTCTAAACGAAAACCATGCGGTTGGCTGTCTTTCAGTTATGAAATGCGCCTTCAAGGGCATCAGCTTTTACGTTGGCCAGATGGAAGTTGAAAATCAAATGGCACTACAAGCAGCAGAACAGTCAAAGCAGATGCTGAAACAAATGCAAGAGAAGTACGAGGTGCATTTTGTGTAATTCCTCATCTGATTTCTGGACTAAGCCGCCATTGTATGTGTTGCAGGTTCATGGCAAAAATGGAACAAGTCCATGGGGCGCTACAAAAGTCTCTCAAGCAAAACCAGGTGTTACAAAAGGAGAAAGAGAACATGGCGAAGGATGTTTCGGAACTCCAGCAGAAGTATGCAGAGAAAGCACGGTAAGTTCAATAGATCTCACATCTCATGACCTTGCTTTTCTCTAGCAGCGGCAGACAAATGTTGTGGTTATGCAGCCAAAAACGAAAGCTAGAAGAGATGTACGAGTCGCTGAGAGGTGAGTATGAGTCCCTCAAGCAAGGAGCGCCGGGTACAATGCGCCCTTCTACTGCTCGAGTGCGAGCACAAGCTGCATATGTTCCTACACCTGACAGTATGGAACTTGAGAGAAAGCGACAAAACCAAGGTAAAACTTCATTCGTCTGCAAAAATACACTGAATAGAGAATTTTCTGACCACAGTTGTTTTGTTGTAGGTCCGTTTCACATTCCTGGCCTCCCTGCACCCACACATGGCCGTGGGGGTGAAAGTCCAGCATCAGGTGGGCGCCCTTTCAGCCGTCCTGAGCCTTCATTTGAAGGAAACGATGTACAAGGGTTTTTCTCTACCCCCTCGAACCAAGGGAACAAGGATAACGCTTTGCGGAATCTGCTTCTATCCCCGGCACTCCAAAGGCCCCCATCAAGAATGGGTGCACGATTTGGCCAAAGGTGATTCTCGGTTCAACACAGCTTTTGCCTGCTAAATTAATGGCCATGCCACATATTTATTTTGAGGCAAGACATGGATGCTCTTACTGGGAAATGGTAATTTGCACTTGGTTATGAACGTGGTTGTAACACTTGGCCCTCAAGTTTCAACATGTAAATTACCACTGCCTATCCAGAATGCTAGATGCTGGCTAACTGTTGCTCCATTGCTTCAACCTCTGAGCGCCAATCCGGAAGCTTTTTAAGCTTTTCCACTTGCTCGGAAGACAGATTTTCAGCAGATTCCAGTGCCTCTGCCTGGCGAATCTGATTACAACAGGACAATGGTGCAAGCAAGTGAGTGAAACACATTGAAGGTCTTATCAAGTGGAACCCATGCGCGATAAGAACATAACACCACAACAAACTAAAGGTGCTCATGAGAGATGCCACATAAGCAGGCCTCAACGAGGCAACAACAGAAACACAAAAACCATGCAACAGCCATACCTTTTTCTTCAGTGCACGTATCTTCTTTTCGATCTCGGCTTTACCACAAACTGAACCATTCGATCCAGACTGAGTTGCTTCTGCTCTGCTATCTGCACCTCCTTCATGCTTATTTGCTCTGGATACAGTGAGGTCATCCATAGCCTCTGCAAGCTGGCTGTTAGCTTCCTGTTGGACTGAATTTCGCCTGCTGGAGATACCACCAGCCGAACTGACACCTCCTCCAACTCCCTGAGGGTTGAGGAGGGAACAAGGGTAAACGTGGCATGCCCTTGGGATGCGAAACATTGCCATTCGTTGTAAGCTATACTTCACAGGTTCAGCCAGCCCTTGCTTACTTCAAGCACAACGTCACCATCCTTGTCAACATTCCACTCACCTGAGCCTCCGCTCACCTGAGCCTTTTTCTTCTTCTTTGCTGCAGCTGCTTTCTTCTTTTGCATCTCCGCAGCCAGTTCAGGATCCATACCGGGAGGAAGCTCCGGGCCACCTCCCTTGGGCTGGAATACAGTCAACGATCACGCAACAGATTCCATGGGCAAAAAATCGGAATTATAGTGTACATGCGTAAACCAAGTGCTGACATGAGACCTACAACCTCTGCAAAACTTATGCTTGAAACTTCAATTATTGAAGGCTTTCAGTAAGATCAAATGCAGGGTAATGCATTCACAGTAAACGAGACTTCAACAGAAGACGACTGCATACTGACGTACAAACGCCCCCGGCGGTCCGCCCCAACAAAATCCCCTAGGTGTAAGACGATGCGACCTACACGTGATCCGCGGGCCACGTAGGTCGCCACCTCCTCCTGCGCAACGTATCCCGCGCGCACACGAATCTCCTTCCGCAGCGTTCCGTCCGGTCGCCGTGACGCGGGTATAACGCGCTCATCCGGCGGAGGAATGCTTCCCGGTGGGGCTAGCCTCCGACCTTCGTCCATGAAGCCGGCTGGTCTGTGCTACGAAACTGTAAGACGAATCACACGACAAGCCCCGAGGCGCCGCTGAGCTCTAATCCTTCGAGAAACCAGAAATCGATTTCTGACAGTGCGTGAGTTCGTGAGAGCGACTGGTCTCCGTGAAATCAACGAGAGTTGGCGGCGCAAGTCTGGAAGCTGGCGGGGAGTTAGGAGGACTGGCTAGAAATACGTTCAAGGGACTACTATGGCTAGTGGAACCGGTATACAAGACGGTTTATGGGAATTCCAACCGAACAAAACACATCAGTGGAACATATCGCCGACCTACCTGGCTAGCATGCTTGGCGCTTGTGATTCGTACAGTACTCGCTCTAGGAACCTGCTTGCCGCTTGGCCCATTTGCTGAATGGTCAGATCAGGTTCAGTTTTGCTCGCAAGGGCAAAAAGGTGGTTACGTTTTTCGCCACTTACTCGCCAACGATCAGCACAACTGCTGGGCTAAATGGCAAGACTGAAGCGGATGTACGCGTTGAATGCAAATAGCATCCAATCCCAGATCAACTATCAAGCTGTACAAATATTTATACCCTGAAAATATAACCAAATGACACTTTTCCGTATCAAAAAAAAAAAAAAACCAAATGACAGGTAAGAAAGCACTGCTTGAAGATCAATTGGGTAGTCACGTTGACCCTTGACACAACCGCATTTCTGTGCTTTTGCTCTTTTCTCATCAATCCCTCCTTGCCACTGACCCGGCCGCTTCATCTCCTCGGCCACCCTCCCTCCCTGCCCCTGATTCTACTCTACCACCTGTTTCTGAACTTTCACCTGCCCATGGAATCCCGCCAGGTCCACAAGCCTCACCGCGACCAACACTCTCGCCTGCCCTATCAGCAGAGAGCACCTGAGATTCCAGGTAAGTCAGCTGTCGCTCCAGTGAAGTCAGTTTGCTGTTCAGAGCTGCTAGCCGGCCCTTGGCACTCGCCTCTGGCACAGGCGGGATCCCAAGTAGAGCAGGCCAGGAGGCACAGGGGAGAAGGGCAGTGACAGGGGGAGGAAGGCAAGGGAAGGGGGAAGAAGATGCAGTGGTAAAGGGGTCTAAACACCAGCACAGAGCAGATGAGCCTCCATCCTCCTGGAATGCCGGCACTCTTCATATCTGCCAGCTGTCGCTCCATGTCGCCCACGAGGTTGCCGGCCAGCCCTTGACACTCGCCTTTGATCGGATGGATATGCGCTATGAAGAAGGCAAGAAATAGGGTAGGAACAGGTGGAAGGGAGTTGAGAGTGGTGCAGGTGCTCTCCTGCAGAAGAGAACATCACAACGTAACAGGTCTTATTTTTGTTCGACCAGCTAGTTCAAGGCAGGTGAGAGGGCTACCGAGCCTATGTCCCGAAGGTTCTACAGCAGCCGCAACCGACGTGAGCAAGCTCTGATTGGTAGCCGAACCGAAGACAATCATGACACGCATTTTCCTCCCAGCCCCAGATTGTAAGACAAGGGGGCGATGAGACTGGGGGGCACTTGGAATGCACTCACGACAGTACACGGATAACGCAACCATTCAGTGGACTTGTAAAGAACAGACTCGACGGTTTCTCATGTCTGTGGCGAGCCATGGAACAGACCCGAGCAAGCAGGAAGGTCGCTGTGGTCTACTTCACGCGATTAAATAGGACGAAACTGAAGGGACGACTCGAACCGAAGTCGATGACGAGCTCTAGAACGAATGCATGGATGCAGAGCGATGCTTTCAGAACTCGAGAAAAACGCGCACACGTAGATGATGCGACAAGAGCAGGGGATGAAACGCACCGAAGTCGTTGACGAAGGTGTAGATGCGATGGATGTTGAGTCGCAGCGACTCCACGAACTCGCGGTTGTCCCAGTCCGCCTGCACCGCCTGCCCGACCTTCTTCGCGCTCATCGCGAAACCGGGCGAAAAAGAGCGAAATTTGGGCGAAAACAGCTCTCAGGTTGAGCCGTCGCACGACATGGATTAGGCTGATTTGTTCACTATTGCGACGCGAATAGAGGGTTTCTTTACGGCATTGTAACACCGAGCCCTCAAAAGGACGGCGACTCAGGACGCATCACAACACGGTGTAGGAGGCATCGACCACTGCGAGCCTGATTGACCGGCGACAATCTTTAGTTAGGCTAATCCCAGGTTTAGGCAGCGACGGTTAGGCGGCTGCTCGTTCCAAGCCCCTCTAACTGGAAGGTGTTGACAACCTCGCGAGCCTACGAGAACGAAAGAGCAAGTTGCTCCGTGTCGGTCGCAGTTCTCCTAGGACCGTGGGACATCCTAAGGGTGCGTCAGATCCGTTGTCGGAAAAATCCGGCCGGCCGGAATTAGCGAAGGTAACACATTCGCGACATCCGCAAAGATTTTCGGAAAGTTCGTCAAATCCGGCCATTTGTAAAAAATTTGATGGCCGGTTCAGCATTCGACAAAGTTCCGACGTGCAGTCGACTCGAAAGTCGACCAATTTGTCGACCTGAGATCACTACAGTCACTACGCGACGTCGCCAGCTCGTGCGACGCAACGTGTCACACAAGTACTGCATCTGCGATTCCGTCGCACAATTCGGCGACCCTGGCGAACTGCAAATCTGAAACATTTGCATAGCGGCCATCAAATCGGCCACCAAATGTGTCAGATTTTTCGGCCCTGTAAATGTGGCCGGATATTGGTCGTTATTGAAGTCGACCATGTTGTCGACTTTGGCGAAAGATATTGTCGACCAAACTGTCGACCAAATTCCGGCCAAATCACCTTGTAACGGATCTGACGCGCCCTAACAAGGCTTGTTCAATTAGGAGGAATAATCCTAGAACTGTTGGGAGGAAGCTGTGCTGAATTCAGCCGAGGCGAATGCTGGCGAGGCGTGTGCGCGAAACTGGACGACGAGTGAACTCCTGGTGATACAGGGTCTTGACGAAAGTCCGTTTTCGCAAAAACAAAAGTTTCGCAATAACTTTTTGTGAACGCATACATTGCACATGATTTACCCAGCATTTGAGAAGACTTACACCTAGTTGTGAATTGTGGTAAATTCAGGTAACTCACAGGCGAGGACCTATCCTTCCCCATAAACACCTGCTTGGGTGATCATTTGCGAATTCCTCGCAACTGCAATCAGTGTCAGTCAGTGTCGCTCACATCGCCTCAAACTCATCGCTCTCGTCGCACAGGGAATGTATCCGGCGGGCCGAGTCGCCGTCGCTTCCCTGCGCACTCTTCCCACAGCCGCTGGGCACATCGTCTCACGCGCCCGAGCCTCGTTAGTGTCGAACGGCAGCGGCGCACATCGTGGCGCCGTCGTAGGCTTGTCCGGCACCCGCCAAGTCTGTTCAGGGCATCCCAATTCAAGCCAGAGGAACCCACCCCACGCCGCGCACCGCGCTCCGTGCCTCTCCTCCCTGCCCGTCACCGCGCATCCCTATCTCCTCTCGCGGCCGCTCTCCGCGCATCGCATGGACGCGCCACGGCCCTCCGCGGCAGCAGCAACGGCAGCGGAGGGCGTTGGGAGGGAGAAGATGACGGATGGCGCCGTGTCAGATGCTGCCATCGCGATGACTTCAGGTAAAGGATCGGGGAAAGTGGTGTGGGCAGCGACAGGGGCGGCGAATAGAAGTGGAGACGCGAGAAGAGAACTAATGGCGCCGTGTCAGATGCTGCCATCGCGATGACTTCAGGTCAATGGCAGAGCAACATTCAGCAGTTCCCCGGGGGGGGAGGGGGGGGGGGTGGGTTGGGGGGCATCCCTCCCTCCCTCTTTCCCTTCCTCCCTGCCTTTCTTTCTCCCAGTTCCGCCCACCCAGAACTTTCCTGCTTTTTTTCTCAACCCTCTCACTGCTCACCACTCTCACCTCACCATCTCGCCACCTCCACACCCCACAGACGATGCGCCTGGTGTCCTTTCAGCAGTGCAGTGCCAAGCCCACGGTGGGGGTGGGTTTGGAAGTTTACTCTTGTCACCCTCTCACCCCAACCCACTGCCCCTCACCCTCTCACCCCAACCCACTGCCCCTCCTTCTTTCCCTCTCACTCTCTCACCCGTCCTCTCGTCCATCTCACCCCCACCCCACAGACGGCCGCATTCGCCTGGCGTCCTTCCAGCAGCGCGATGGCGAGATCACAGTGGGGGTGGTGCGAGATGCGCGCATCTGGCCGCTGCATGAGTGCGTGCAGCAGCCCTCCTCTCTGCCCGCCTCCGTCGACCTGCACTGCATGGCGTCCGTCATTGCCGCCTGGCCGGACATTCGTGCCCGGTGAGAAGGGTGGGGCGAGAGGAGAGTGGGGGTGACCCTTCCTCTCTGCCTGCCTATTGGATCTTCACTCATAGCGGAAGAGCTGCAATTCTGAAGATTGGAAAACGCTTAAAGCAGCAATAGGATCGAAACTAAAAAATCTTCCTGGAAAATTGCTCAGTAGAGCTCGTAAAACCCTTTCACTAAAGCAGTGACAAGGGTGGGGCGAGAGGAGAGTGGGGGTGACCCTTCCTCTCTGCCTGCCTATTCTCACTGCATGGCGTCGGCCATTGCCAGCTGGCAGGACATCCGTGCCCGGTGAGTGCGGTGGGGTGAGGTGAGGAGTGCGATGAGAAGGGTGGGGTGGGGGGAGTGGGGTGAGACGGTTGGGTTGAGATGAGAGGAGTGAGGAGTGTTTTGAGTTTGGTCCACTTTGCTTTTGAGGCGCCTCAAAAAACGAGCTTAGTGAGTGGAGATTGGTGCAATTTTTTTATTAAGATTGTCACACACTCATGGCATTCAAGCCATTTTGCTTTCAACGCCTCTTTGCCCTGTGGTCCCCACATGCCTCTCTGAACCCTTGTCGGGCAGGCTAAACTTTGAGAAGCTGCCCGAGGGGCAGGGGCAGCTGCTGTGCGAGAGCCATCTGCTGGCACCTCTCCCCCGGCCTGCAGGGGCCATCATGTGCATTGGGAAGAACTACGAGGAGCATGTGAAGGAGGTGGACACGTGGAAGACTGCTCCCCATATCACCCAACCCAGCATCCCCACTGTGAGTGTAGCCGCTGTACTAGCACCAGCAGCTGCTGGAGCAGCGCCAGGAGCATTAGCAGCACTAGCAGCAGCATCACTGGGAGCAGCAGCAACACCATCGCAATCATGTGCATTGGGAAGAATTACGAGGAGCATGTGAAGGAGGTGGACACGTGGAAGACCGCTTCCCATATCACCCAACCCAGCATCCCCACTGTGATTCCAGCCGCTGCAGTAGCAGCTTTCGGAGCATAGCAGCAGCCGCAGTAGCAGAAGCAGCACTAGGAGCACTAGCAGCAGCAGCAGCAGTAGGAGCAGCAGCAACATACTTGCCATCATGTGCATTGGGACGAAGTACGAAGAGCATGTGAAGGAAGAGGACTGCTCCTCGGATCTCTCACCCCAGCATCCCCACTGTGTGAGTCGAGCCCCTGTGTGAGTCGAGCCCCTGTGTGAGTCGAGCCCCTGTGTGAGTCGAGCCCCTGTGTGAGTCGAGCCCCTGTGTGAGTCTAGCCCCTGTGTGAGTCTAGCCACTGTGTGAGTCGAGCCCCTGTGTGAGTCTAGCCCCTGTGTGAGTCTAGCCACTGTGTGAGTCGAGCCCCTTTACTAGCAGCAGTAGCAGCAGGGAAGCATCTGCAACAGCGCTAGGAGCAGCAGCAGCAGCATGACCGCATTCACCTCCTTTTCCCCCTCCTCTCTCATCCCTTTCTCTCCCACCTCCTCCCACTCGCCCCTCCTTCCGTCCAGCACCCCATCGTGTTCACCAAGGCACCCCAGTCCGTGACAGGGCCCGGCACGGCCATCCGCATTCCACACGGCCACTCCGAGTCGGTGGACTACGAGGCAGGTGGGTGCTGCTGCGAGGGAAGGTGGGTGTCGTGAGGTAGCTTGGGTTGGGTGGTTTGTAAGTGGACTCAGAAGGCATGGCGATCTGCATTCCACACGGCCACTCCGAGTCAGTGGACTACGAGGCAGGTGGGTGCTGCTGCGAGGGAAGGTGGGTGTTGTGAGGTAGCTTGGGTTGGGTGGTTTGTAAGTGGACTCAGAAGGCATGGCGATCTGCATTCCACACGGCCACTCCGAGTCGGTGGACTACGAGGCAGGTGGGTGCTGCGTTGTGGGGCAGGTGGGTGTTGCATTGTGGGGCAGGTGGGCGTTGCGTTGTGGGGCAGGTGGGTGTTGCGTTGTGGGGCAGGTGGGCGTTGCGTTGTGGGGCAGGTGGGCGTTGCGTTGTGGGGCAGGTGGGCGTTGCGTTGTGGGGCAGGTGGGCGTTGCAACTTGCGGGTAGGTTGTGAGTTGACGCGGAAGTCACACCCACCCTTTCTCTGCATGGACTCTCCTAATTCTCTGCCTACTAGGCAGGCAGGTGCGCAATTCCAAAGCCGCTGCCTACTGGTCAGTGGCTTGGGTTGGGACCAAGGTTGCTTCTCATGAGTGATTAACACCCAAAACTGGATTGCACATCACTACATAAGAACAAGTGGTTGTTGTGATTAATTATCATTTTACCCAATGTTATGCACGCTTCTCCCTTCCAATCCTCTACCCCCCACCCCACGCCACCTGTCGGTGCCACCATTTGTCAACATCCACTCCCCCAATGAAAGGCGCAGCCTTAAGAAAGCATACTTCATGTTTGCTCAAGCCATCGTACCCCCATTGCTCACTCCCATCGCCCATTCTCATCGCCCATCCCCATCCCCCGTCCCCATCCTTATTCCACATGCACAGAGCTGGCAGTGATCATTGGGAAACCCGGTCGAGGCATCAAGGCAGACGCCGCCATGGACCATGTCTTTGGGTATGGCTCGCTTGCTCTTGTCTGTGTCACTCTCACGATTTCTCAACAATGACACGCATAGAAGATGCCATGGACCATGTCTTTGGGTATGACTTGCTTGCTTGTGTCGGCGCAC